CCAATGTTACCAAACCTCTCACCTTCTTCCCTCATGCTCTGTCCCTTCCAAGCTGCCTGGAGATGTTCAGCTCTTCTGGAATGTTCACCAGAGATTTAGGGGGAGAAGGGAGAGAGGGAGAAGGTTATCCTAGATAACACATCCAATTGCTCCCCCAATCTCCCCAGACCTCTAACTCTTGTGCTCTGTCCCTCCCAGGTTGGCTGGAGATGGTGTCCCAGTGAACATCTGTAAGTCTGAACCACATGTCCAACACCTAACCCTTCTCTCCCCCCCCAGAACCCAAACCCCAGAACCTCTGACACCTTTTCCTCCCCTGCAGCCGTCACCAGGACCACGGTGGGAACAGGGTACGGAGCAGGAAGCAACCTCAGCATGGGAGGAGGAATGTGCACCATGGGCAACAGCTTCAACTGCGTGGGCAGCCCTGGGGTGGGCAGCACCAGCCTCGGCGCGGGCAGCAGCTCCAGCATGAAGTTTGTCTCCACCTCCTCCACCAGAAGAAGCTACAGGAGCTAAAATCTTCCCCCGAGACACCTTCGCTCTGCCCCTCAGAGCCAGGGTGAAGGTCACGTCCACCCAACCTTGTCTCACAGGAGTTTCCCTCCAGGGTCTCTCAGCTGGGTTGGGCTCAGCCCTGGAACGTGAGGCCAACTTACCTTCAATTTGCAGCTCTTTGGTTCCAGCTCAGCAGGTTTTGGTTGTTCTTTTTTTTGGTTGTTTCTTTTTTTTTTTTTTTGTACAGAAAGTGTGTCCCGTGACTCGTTTTGTCTCTCCTGTCTCTCTGGGGTTTGTCTAATAAAAATGCAGATGTAATTTAGTCTCTTTTCTCCTGGGCCCTTTTTAATTAAAGATGTGCGAGAGCAAGCGGAGGGAGCAAACACTTTCTCCTCGGGCTCTGCCAGGCTCAGGTTTTGTGCTCCTCGCTGGGATTTCTCCAGGAGCAGCAAAGTCCCAAAGGGAGAATGATGAAATCAAGGTCCATTCTCCCCCAGCTTTGCAGGTAGAACACCTGGAGGCCAAAGCCAGGACAGGCCAAGGCAGGAGTGAAGCACAAGGGGAAAGGTCTAAGCTTGGTTTTACTCCCAGTTTCCAGCTCACCCAAGATCCAGGAGTTGTAGATCCCACAGAGAGCAGTGCTGGGGGTGGGATGTACCTGCAGGGACAGCTAAGCCTAGGGAGGTCCCCCCCAGGAGAGTCAGAGTGACCACTAGACTTAGTCAGGTGGATCAGCACATCTCAACCCCCTTTTCCACCCCTCTCACAGCAAAGCTGCAGTGCCAGAGGTGCAAACATCTCCCTGAGTGGGTTAGAGCTGTCCCTGTCCACTCAGAGCACTGGTCACACTGGTTCAGGTGCTCAGTTTGGAGGTTGGTGTTGATGTTCTCTCTCCCCTGTGGCTACAAACAGGTGGAGGAGCTGCCCCAGATGAATTATGGATCATCCCTGCTCCATAATTCATCACCCTCCATAATTCATGAGTCAACACTGAGGCTGGGACAGTTGGGGCTGCTCAGCCTGGAGAGGAGAAGGTTGTGTGGAGACCTTGGAACAACCTACCAGGAGCTGGAGGAGCTCCAGGGAAGCTGCAGAGGGACTTGGGGAGGAGTTGCAGGGACAGGATGAGGAGGAAATGGGTCAGACTGGAATTTAGGTTAGATATCGGGCAGGAATTCCTCCCTGGGAGGGGCTGAGGGGGTGGGATGGATCTCCCAGAGGATTCTCCATCCCTGGGAGTGTCCCAGGTCAGGTTGGACAGGGCTTGGAGAGACCTGGGCTGGTGGGAGGTGTCCCTGCCCATGGGATGGGATGAGCTTCCAGATCCTTCCAACCCAAACCATTCCAGGATTCTGGAGTCTCTGCCCTGGATCCAGGCTGGGAGAGCTGGGGGTGTCCAGCCCGGAGAGGAGAAGCTCCAGGGAGACCTCGGAGCCCCTGAAGGAGCTCCAGGAGAGCTAGAGAGGGACTGGGACAAGGGATGGAGGGACAGGACGACGAGGAGGAGGAGGAGAGGAAGGAGGGATGGAGATGACTCTTGGAGAGAAGTTGATCCCAGCTCATTTCACCCGAGCTGAAGCCAAGAGCTTGGCTGTACCCAGTCCCACCATCCCTCAGGAATCTGGAGCAAAATTCCCCCAGGAATGAACCTGTGGAGCCACCAACTCCCAAATCCCACCCGGGAACAAACTCCAGGGGCAGTAGGAAGGTGCTGAGGAACATTCCCTGGAGCTCCTGAACGTTCCCGCGCAGCACATAAGAGCTCAGTGGGAACTGGAGAGTGAGACAAAAGGGCAACTTTATTCAGGGACACACAAGGAAGGCATAAAAAATCCCACCCAGAATGCACCACGAGGTCATGGCTGAGCATGGGCACCTCATTTCCAGGCAGTTCCTTGGAATTTCTGGAGCTGCAGGTCCTTCCCCCTGCAGGAAGGACCTCACTGTTCCCTGGCACGTTGGAGCTGGAGGCAGATTTTGGCAGGATGGAGCAGTTTGGGACCGAGGAGACACCACAAACCACTTGGATCACTTTTAGCCATGGAGTGGTAAACAGAGACACGCAAAAAAGAAAAAAAAAAAAAGGGAATATTCTCTCCTTGGAATTGAAAGAGTTTCCTATCCCTCAAAATTTGGGCTTGATTTAAGGAGAGGGAATGGGTTTGGGAGCTCCTTGGGGAACCTGAACCAAACGTGTCTTGTGTTGCCTTTGGTCAGGAGAAGCTTCAGGCAGAGGAGGAATGTTGAGTTCCACCTCTGAGCCCAAGGAAACAAGGAAAAACCCGAACTCATCCCACTCTTTTCTCCTTGGAAGACCTAAAATCCCAACCCCAAGGAGACACCTGCCCAGGCCTGAGGGATAGAAGGTCTTCCAAACTGACCAAGAGGGAGAGAATCTTCCAGGTCTCTGTTACAAAACCACAGCGGAAAAGTGGGAATTGCTTTTCCCAAGGGGTGAAATCCAACCCGCAGCAGGAGGGACCAAAGCATGGAGGTAACAGTAGGGATTATCCCACCCATCTCCTGGGAGAATTCCACCCTGTGGACTTGAGGTGCTCCCAGAGGGTCCCACCGAGCCCAGCAGTGCCGGGTGGAGCCTCGGGAATGTCACGGAAGGAATTCAGCACTGCAAAGGAATTTTTTGGGGGGTTTTTTGGAGCCCCTTTGGCCTCTCAAAAGGCAACAAGACTTTTCTCTCTCTCTGGTTTCCCTTCTCCCCACGTGTTGGGAACGGCCAAACTCCATCCCTGGAGTTACTTCGTGATGCTCCTGCGGCTGGAGGAGGTGGTGGTGATGGTGTAGGACTTGGTGCTCCCACCTGAGGAGAGGCCAAGGGCTCCACTGCCCATGCCTGGTCCAAGGCTAAGGCTTCCTCCAATTCCTCCTCCCAGGAGGCCACTGGAGCTGGAATAGCTTCCTCCGCTGCTGGAGCTGACCACGGCTGCGGCACGGGGAGAAACAAAGGGACTGTGAGGGTTTGGGAGCATCAAACCCACCTGAGAACCCACAGAGGAGGAGTTTTCACATGGCTGAAAACATTCCCTGCTCCATGGAGACATGGAATGGTCAACCATCATCATTATCCCATGGAGTGTTGGGATGGTCAAACCTCATCATTCTCCATGGAGACATGGGATGGTCAACCATCATCATTATCCCATGGAGTGTTGGGATGGTCAACCATCATCATTATCCCATGGAGTGTTGGGATGGTCAACCATCATCATTATCCCATGGAGTGTTGGGATGGTCAACCATCATCATTATCCCATGGAGTGTTGGGATGGTCAACCATCATCATTATCCCATGGAGTGTTGGGATGGTCAACCATCATCATTATCCCATGGAGTGTTGGGATGGTCAACCATCATCATTATCCCATGGAGTGTTGGGATGGTCAACCATCATCATTATCCCATGGAGTGTTGGGATGGTCAAACCTCATCATTCTCCATGGAGACATGGGATGGTCAACCATCATCAATCTCCCATGGAGACGTGGGATGGTCAACCATCATCACTTCCAACCCAGGGAATACATTTTTCCACTTGTTCTTCCTTCATCTATACAAAAATGGGAGGAAAGAACTCCATTTTGCCCCAGGTTGAACTTCCTATGGATGAGTTGGAGCTGAGCTCCAGATGGAGCCTCCAGCACCATCCCCTTCCTGCCTCCAGCTGCTCCCACCCAAGGAGTTCCACTGGGATAACTGGGACACCCTGAGCTCCCATTTCCTACAGGTTTGTGACTAGCTGTAGGTTTTCCAAGGAGGAAAAATCAACTCACAGATGTTGACGTTGCCAACTCCATCTCCAGCCAACCTGTTGGAGAAGAGGAGGAGGAGGAGGTTAGACTCAGCCCAACTCTTCCCTCAGGGCTGAGGAAGGATTACTCCAGGTGTAGCTAATCCCGGTGAGATCCGTGTCTTAGCACCTCGAGGGGATGAGACAACACCCAAAGTTTTGGCTTCATTCCACAGGGATTTCCATCTGGGAATGTGGTGCCACAGCATTAAAGATGACGGGGGGGAAAAAAGCTTTTTCCTTCTTGGGATATTTTTTGCAGCTAAAGGATCCGTTTGGTTTGAGAAATTCCTCAGTCGAAGCTTTTTTAAGAGGGGAAAAGATCAGTGGGAAATGGGTTTTGTTGTCTGAAATTTCTGGTGGGAATTGGAATTGGGATCTTCGAATGAACTCAGGGAAAGGGAGGAAAGGGCTGGAACATTCCTGAAGGGAATGAAGGGCTGGAACCTTCCTCAGGGGAGGAAAGAGCTGGAACCTCCCTTAAGGGAGGAAAGATCTGGAACCTTCCTCAGGGGAACTCGGAGGAGCAAAGTGTTGGATCCTTCCTCAGGGGAGTAAAGGGTTGGATCTTTCCTCAAGGGAATAAAGGGAACCTTCCCTCCCAGAACCCTCCCAGGTGTGCTCACCTGCTCTCCTCGCCCTCCAGCAGCTTCCTGTAGGTGGCAATCTCGATGTCCAGGGCCAGTTTGACATTCATCAGTTCCTGGTACTCTCGGAGCTGCCTGGCCATGTCCTGCTTGGCCTTCTGCAGAGCTGCCTCCAGCTCCTCCAGCTTGGCCTTGGCATCCTTGAGGGCCAACTCACCACGTTCCTCAGCCTCAGCGATGGCTGCCTCCAGCTTGGCACGCTGGGGGGTGGACAGAGATGTCAGTGGGCACCTCAACCCTTGGTGGAGATGCTAAGAACCTCAGTGGGCACCTCAGCCCTTGATGGAGGAACCTAGAACCTCAGTGGGCACCCCTTGGTGGAGGAACCTAGAACCTCAGTGGGCACTTCACCCCTTGGTGGAGGAGCTAAGAACCTCAGTGGGCACTGCACTTCTTGGTGGAGGAACCTAGAACCTCAATGGGCACCTCAGCCCTTGGTGGAGGAACTCAAACCCCTCTGCCTCTCCTGCCCAGACCATCTCTGTCTCTGCAGAGCTCTGGAGCTCAATTAGATCCTTGGAACTTCATCC